CTGGACATTTTGCAGCCAAGAATAAAACATATACATAATAAAACCAAAAGCAATAAACCTGATAAGCAAAAGCAGTTGAGCCTCACAGAAGAGGCCAATATCATGCATAGCACACCCACTCATTTATCTTTCCAATGTTGGCTTGCTGAAATGCATTTCTGCTTTAGACAAAGAGTGAAGCTCCATGACCTGGGATCTCTCCCAGCAAGAAGAAAGAAAGAGCCTGCAATGGTCTAGGCTAGGGATGTCAAACTCAAGGCCCAAGGGCTGCATCTGGCCTGCGGGGTGCTTAAATCTGGCCCACGGGGCCGGACTGGAAATACCAAAGGACCGGCCCGCAGTGCCTCTGCCAGCCAAAACAGGCCGTACGGGATTCATTTTCGGCCTGCAGAATGCTGCAGGATGACTGGATTGGACTGGATTACATGTGGCCTCGAGTAAGTGCCTGATCTGGATAGAAAACAAGCAGCATCCTACAGTTTAATGCCAGATTTTACATACTGAAGGTCCATTTAATCTATAATCAACAATCTATAATCATACAATCTATAATTGATAGCCATTTCTATTTACTATCTTGGAAATTTACCTCTGCTGTTAGATCTTGTATTACCATGTTATTTATGCTATTGTATTTTTATTATTAGTTGAATAATAAAAATACAATAGTATAAATAGTTTTTCTGCCTGGAAAAGCAATAGGGTATAAATTTAGAAATAAAAAGTTTAGTGGAGTATGAAGAATAAGTAATAAATGTTTGCCAGTAATATCTGGTAGAAATGATAGGAAAATGGTTATAGTAAAGAACTGTGAAAGAAAGAAGAGGAAAAATGCATCTTGAGCCTGTCCCCACAATGGCCACACCTGCTGGCCACGCCCACCGCCGGGCACACACTTCTGGCCCTCCGAGGTCAAACCCAACCCTGATGCGGCTGTCAGTGAAATCGATTTTGACACTCCTGGGCCATCTTGAGGAAACAGGAATGTTTTGCTTCTACTGCCTTTGGTTTGATGCTTGTGTCTTTCTTTCACAGTGCTGGTCAAATGGAAATATCAGCCACGTTCCTTTCTTCTTTGTGACCGCTCAGTTTCCTTCATTTAGTTCTGGGCAAAGTCCTCTCGTGCCCTTGAGCAGCTGGAGCAACACCCGGGAGCAGCCGCTGTTTTCCGAACTCTGAAGGGTCAACTTTCCTAGGACTTTGTTCTGAAGGGCTCCCAACTTCTGTCTCCATCAGCCTGGGGAGATCCGGGACCGATTTTAGATTTGATTTTGTATGAGTCTCTTTCTTCTATGAGCTGGGCATGGATTATATAGTCTGCGGTAGAGACTGGACCTAAGGAATACCTGCCTGCTTTCCTGAAATGGACAATGTTGTAGTTGTATTTAGGGCAGAAAATTAAACACAGTTCAAAATCCTGTTTTTGCCTACTGTTCTTCTCCCTGCCAGTCAAATAATCCTCTACGAGCTTGTTTTGTCTAATTGAGAGATTAACTGTAATTTTTCTGAGCGTCTTTTTCGTTTGCTGCCTGACATGGGGTTTTCGCAAGATTTTGTGTTGTTCTGAGGATTTGTGAACTTTACTTCCTGGAGGTATGAAGAGCAAAGACAATTTGTTGCCCTTGAAATATTGAAAACGATGACTCTCTCAAATTTTGCCATTCATCACGATGATTCAATCGATTGAAAGGGTGGTTAAAATTGGATAGATGCCAAGTTGTCCACCACTGTTTGGCTGGGGCACTCATTGCAGTAAGTTGTCTGTTTATTCAGCGTTGGCTTGGCCAGTTGCATGAACCCATGCACTGTGGTGTGTAAACCATAGTTTATGACTTGGTATCATGTGTCTTCCTGTGGGTTAACACAAGATGTAAACCAGATGAGTAAAATTAGCTATTGGTTTAGGGCAATGAGGGAACAGGCATTTTAATGAATCAAAACAGAGTAAGATACTCATCGCTAAACTTGAACCTGGTCAGTCCCATTGAAATGTTACAGGAGAGTGCATTGTGAGGTGAGGATGTTCGAGTAACTTCAGGAATATTTTAACATGTATTTGAAAATGAAATTGGAATGTGTACCTCTCGTACACCCAAATGGGTGTATGTAAGATATTTGTGTGTGTATGAGAGATTTTAGTTTTCCTGACAAAGCAAGCATTTGTGAAGATAAAGGGAAGTTTGATCCCCTTATATTTGGGCTCTTGGTTCCATCTTTCATTTAAAAAAAAAGTTTGTAAAAAGAATTAAGTTGGAAGTTTGCTGGTGACTTACTCTGAGCTGTTAAAATGAGCAAAGGATTTCTTAGATCAAATTCCTACACAATGACATGTTACTTGATAGTGAAGATTACATACAAGTGTTAGTGAGGAGAGTTAATGTTAAGTACCAAAAGATACCTCTCCAACTGGTTGTTTTATATGGGCATTAGGATGGAAATGGGATGGATTCTTAAGGACACTTCTCTCCCCTGTATTATTATTATTTTAAAATCACTATCAAAAATGATGGGGAATACTGGTAAAGTTTTTTTTTTTGTCTTCAGCTTTGGGAGTTGCTGCAAAGCGTTCCCACTAGGGATAGTTGTAAACTGATCTTCAGAAAGAGAAGTGTTTTCAAAATAAGCAACAGCAACAACGTTCGGCTGTCTTATTTGGCTCCCTGCCACCAGCACTTCCATCTCTGTCACTTTGATCCTCTTATATTTGGACTTTGGCTTGCAACGCCTCATATCTGGACTACGCAGCTGAGAGTTGCCCAAAGGGAGGTTGTACGCGGCTGTGGAGGGAGATTCCAAGTGCACCACAGATTGCGTTCTCCTCTTGCACAACGCAGGAGGAGTCTTCAGCCCACCACTTTGTACACCTCGGTGTGCCTGTGAGCTGAACAGCGTTTACTCTGAGCTGCTGACCAATCTTCGGAAGAAGGAAGAAGAAACCCCCACAGAACCTGCAATTCTTTCAGATTACTAAACCCATGTTCAGAAGAGGACTCATCTAAGAGCTAGACCACGCTGTGCCATGTAGGAGGTCTTTTGCTTCCCTGTTGACTGCTAGGCCAATTCCTGGCTTGTCTGGCTGTCCCTATGTTTGTGACACTTAGAAGTGATCTGAGACTCACATTTCTCACGATATCATATGAAGGCCAATGGAAATATCCCAAATACGTATTGAGTTCATAAGGAACTCTTCCTTTCAACAGGAAATAACTTTTGCTTCTTCGATCCAGTAGGCTGGTATTTCCACCGCCTTTTGTATCAGGAGATACAATTTTACTATAGAAATTGCCTGATCAATTTGCAAAGCAGATTTGCAAAAACAGAGAAAACCGTCAAGGCTATACTTTTAACGCCACGGAAGAGCCTGTTTGATGACTTGGTCAAGTAAAGCAGCTTAAATGACAATGCCTGGGGCTCTACAAAAAAGGATGCCAATTCACTCCTGCTTGCTTGCTTTCCAAAGGTTTTTAAAGAGCGTGTTCTTATAAAAGCAGTTTCATAATAGATAATACTGAGTGAAATAGCCAATAAGAAAAATGAACTCCCCGTCCTTTATTGATTCTTGAATTGCTGTTAGGATATGCTCTCCTTTGGGCTTGGCTGCCTAGGTTGCAGCCCATGATGCAGCTAATACAGCCGTAGATTTGGAAGGAGAGGCTGACGAAGGGGATGGGGCAAGATAAACTGCTTTGCTACGTATTTAAGATTGCTAATTACAGGTAGCCCTTGACGTATGACCACCATTGAGCCCCAAAATGCCTGTTGCTAAGTGAAACATTTGTTAAATGAGTTTGCCCCATTTTACGACTTTTCTTGCCACAGTTGTTAAGGGAATCACTGCAGTTGTTAAGTTAGTGACACGGTTGTTAAGTGAATCTGGCTTCCCCGTGGACTTTGCTTGTCAGGTCGCAAAAGCTGATCACATGACCCCGGGACACTGCAACCGTCATAAATATGAGTCAATTGCCAAGAGGCTGAATTTTGATCATGTGATCATGGGGACACTGCAATAGTTGAGTGTGTAAAATGGTCACAAGTCACTCAGTGCCGTTGCAACTTTGAACGGTCATTAAATGAATTGTACGTTGCGGCCTACCTGCAATGGGTTGATTACGGTAATAAGATTGCACTTTCCACAGCAGTAATAATTTTAATTTAATTTAATTTAATTTCCAATTTATATACCGCCCTTCTCCCTGAGGACTCAGGGCGGTGTACAGCCAAGATAAAAAACATAGAATACAAATATTAAAACATTTAAAAATATATATAAATTTTGGCCCGAAAGTTAAGAATCACAGACTAATTAAAAGAATTTAAAAATTTTAAAAATTTCTTCTTAGGCCAACCCGGCTTGTTGAAAAAGATGGGTTTTCAGGGAACGACGGAAGGCATTGAGGTCCTGGATTCTTCTTATCTCCGGGGGCAACTGATTCCAGAGGATGGGAGCCCCCACAGATTGATGGAAAATAATTGATGGAAAATAAACCATGCCCTGTTACAGATCAAAGAAATATTTATACAAAGGTAGGGGGGGCTGGCTTTTAGGGGGTGCCCCAGGTACCCATCTAGTCATGAGGAATCAAACTTCATTCATGGTGGATTGTACTTTAAAAGGATGTAACTAATTCTAACAAACATTTCATGAATTAGACTATTTCTATTTCATAAAGCATGAGTAGCTGATAACATAATTGAATAGAGTATCTTCTAGAAAACGATGTGGCTAAAGCTACCGAGCAAAAATATTCCCATCTTAATTTCAGTATCATCTATCCTAAGGATTAAAATAGACCAATGTACTCTCATATTTAACATAATTAAGTAGGGTGATATGTGGATTTGGAAAGATCAGAAGATCTACTTGTAATGCACAGGCTTTAACCTTTTTCTTGGCCTTGAGTTGTAATCTAATAGCAACAAAGAAAAATGTAGGCAGGTACAGTATCTTACTGCTCTTTAGTCTACTCTAAAACATAAAATAAGGATCAGACAAAGGTGAGTTTGGAATTAGATGTACTTTTATTTATGTAGGCACAGCCACCAAAGAAGCAGAGTTAGACACACAGTATTTCTGATTACAAATATGCATTTCATGTTAATGGAAACCCGTTTTTCTCCCCAAAACAGCATTTCCTTGAAGCAGTGGGTAGAGTGAAGGTCAGTTGTAGCTAGAGCCAAAAACCATCCTATTTCTTTCACCATCACCCTTGTTTCTGTTTCCGTCAATCTCTCTCCTTTTAAAACAATTGCTTTTTACTTGTGGAGATGCTACCAAGAAAAGGTGAAATAGCTGTTAGTCTTCTTGAATTGAATTTTGCTTCTTTGGAAATTAGATTGAAGATGTCAGCTGACCACTTCTGATGTAATACCCTGAGAGTCTTTAAGAGGATATCAAATCAGTTTTGGGGGGTGGGGAATGGCAATAATTGAGCAGATTAGATAGAACATCTCTGTAAAACACCAGGGATTAAGAAACTGGGATTTTGTTATTGATTTCATGCTTTGCTCCCTAGTATATTAAACTATGATATATCTAGAAAGAGGGATCCAAATTGACTGACAGGTGTTTTATCTAGTGTAATTATAAGAAACAGTGTACACAATAGAAAGGGGATCTAGTTTTTAAACAACTGTTTTGAATTATATAGCATGGTGGCCTGTGGGGGAGACAAAAGGCAGAAATAATGCTGCAAGTGCAGTTTTAAGGGGCATAATTCCAACAAGGATTACAAGGATAATTACAGCTGTGATTTTTTTTTTTTTTGCCTTTTGTTCTACTGTTAAAGGCACAGGGGATGCTTGCCAGGAAAAAACGGAGATGCCAGCCATTATGCATATTACTCATGCTTCAAAGTGTTTACAAAAAGTGGCCACTGAGAGAAAAGAAAATCTGCAAACTTTATGGGTGGGAAGGAAGACAGAAACAAAGTGGATTTCAGCAGCCCAAGTGGAGAAGATGAGGCTCGCAGTTTAAACAGACATGTTCCCACTGTTCCAAGAGGACTGGGAACGACCCGCCTAGTTGGTGAAAGTTGGAAATGTAATTTTTGGAGGATGATTTTAAAGCCAGCCTTTGATCCAGCCATCTTAAGGGAATCCACAGTTGGGGAAGGGAATTCTCACATTTCAGGCTGCTGCTAATTTAACCAATCAGATATTTGTTGGAGAAGCTGAAAGAAAAAGAGTCTTGTCAGTGAGATTGGTATAAATTGATGAGTGGTAGCTAGTGGATTAAGATGTGAGTTTACTAGGAGGGGATGGAATTGCTCTATCTTTAGAGCAAATATTCCTAGTTTATTCTGAAAAAATAGCAAGTAGCACACTTGGGCAAACTACCAAATAAACACCCAAAATATCTGATGGGTTGCAACCTTAGTCAAACCCAGTTTAGCCCAATGTTTAACCCAGATAATATTCCAGCCTATCAGGAGAGAAGGACATAAATCAAGTAAAATCATACCGGAATAATTCTTGTAGCTAAAATTGTCATGTGGGAGAAATGGATTGGCTAGAGACTATGTTAATGTAGCCTTACAATGAAACCAGCTTGCTGTAGTAGCAGTTAAGGCATCATGTTAGAAACCCGGAGACCATGCATTCTAGTCCTACCTGAGGTACGAAGCCAACTGTGTGACTTTGGGCTAGCCACTCTCTCTAAACCTGAGAAAGTGGGCAATGGTAAGCCACTTCTGGAAAAAAAAAATTCTTGCCAGGAAAACTGCTGGGACTTGTCCAGGCAGCCTCGAGAATCAGACAGGATTGAATGAAAGGAAGGAAAGGGGGAAAAAAAAGACTTGCAATAAAGTAGAATTAGTTCATCTACTTGTATTTCCTGTCTGGTCTCCCTGGTAAGGCTGACATCAGTCTTGTGAATCTGAAAATACAATTTTCCACTGTCTCCTTTACTTCCTGAGAAATTAGGGGTGATCCCTTCAGAGCCTGTTACATCACCCACTAGCCAGCTGCGGGCTATGCTGTCTCTGATTGGTTCCTAGGCAGAATCTCTGGGCCCAGCCTCCCAAGGTCTTCCCCGTTTAACCATTACAATTGGACAGCAGCTTTGTCTTAAGCAGCATTTTTTTTGGGTTGGTCCCTAGATATAAAGCTAAATTTCTTTAGAGGGACAAATTCTTATCAGATTAAATCTGCTTCCAAAACAGTTCTGTTGTGTAGCCCCAGCGCGCGTGTGAGTCTAGTCCATCAGAGGATTGTGCTGAGTGTATTGTCTTCATCCACCTCCTTCTCCTCAGGTTGGAATGAGCTGCTGCTAGGAACCGGCAGGGATTTGAGGTATTCCAAGTGACGCCGGGATTCGGCTTGGTTGCGCCGGATATAATAGATGATGTAAGTGTTAACGACACCAAACCAGACAAACATAGTGAGCAGCATTGCAAAATCGGTGTGCTTCTGCTGAGTGACACAGAAGTTGACGCCAGCGCTGACCAGATGGGACAAAGTCTTCCCAACATACTCCTTCCAAGTTGCGGTGGTGCACACAATGTCTTCCGCCGTCCTGGCTCCTAAGGAAAGAGCCTTCATCAGCTCCTGCAGGGAGCAGTCACAATGCCAGGGATTGTTGTAGAGTTCTAGCTTCACCCAGGTCAGCATGATGAAAGGAGCAGGGTCTATGTTTCGCAGCTTGTTCCCTGAAAGGTCCAGGAGCCTCAGTGCATTCCCTAAGCCGTGGAAGGCTGCTGGAGAAATGCTCTCGATGAGATTGTCCGCCAGGTGAAGTTCATGGAGGAGTTTCAGGCCGTGGAAGGCCCCGCTGGATATGTGGACAATCCAGTTAGAGTCTAGGTACAATACTCGAGTGTCATGAGGAATGTCAAAAGGGATAACCATCAGATTTCTCCAACTGCACCACACCACACCGTTTCCTGGCGGGCAGTCACACCTTCGTGGGCACGACTGATGGCCATGCAAGCAATGGATCAGGAACAAGAAGACAGACCACACCGACATTTCTGCTGCGTTCTTCACAAAGAAGCAATGAGATCCTGGCTCACAGGCCCAGAACTCTGATTGAAAAGCAAAGGGATGGGAAGAAAGTAAATGACAGCGATAAAGGTCCTTACAATACATTTAATGCAGTGCTGTCAAATTCGCAGCCACAGGCCGGATGCGTCATACACTGGCCACACCCATGCCCGGTTTAGCGAAGGGGGGGAAAAGTCACGATACGTCACGTGATGCCACCAAGATGAGTTTGACACCCCTGATTTAATGGGTTTATTTTGACAGTAGCTGTGATCATTGTCAGGGTTCCAAGTAACACCCCCAATGAAAGAAGACTCGGAGGCCAGAAGTTCCTCAAAGTTCCATTTTATTAGAGGTGTCATATTGGCACATCTGGGAAAACCCGAATCTGAAAGCTTCCAGGTTTTCCCCACCCAGAAGACAGTCCAAGTCCAAGTCCCTGCCCTTGCACCCACATGTCCATCACATGGTCCAATCAATCCACCATCCCAACTGGCGATGCCTCCCAGTCACACCACTGCAGGTGCAGGGCAAGATGTCCTTGACTCTCAAAGAAAAGAATGTTATTATGGCTAGATATTTCTCCACTCCATACAATCCCTCCTCTCAGTTTTCCACAGCACTAAATGTGGCAGCCCTGAAGATCCAAAGTAAAAGATGTCTTCCAGGACTGACAATCATATGACCTTAATCCATAAAGCTTTATTAATAAATGGGCACATACTATTCTTTTGTCTGTTATGAGTTATACAGGTAGTCCTCGACTTACAACAGTTCATTTAGTGACCGTTCAAAGTTACAACAGCTTTGAAAAATGTGACTTATGACTATTTTTCACAGTTACGCTCTTTGCAGCATCCCCATAATCATGTGATCGAAATTTAGATGCTTGGTAGCTGGTTCATACTTATGACCGTTGCAGCGTCCTGGGGTCATGTGATCTCCCCTTTTGCAACCTTCTGACAAGCAAAGTCAATGGGGAAGCCAGATTCACTTAACAACCGGGTTACTAACTTATCAACTGCAGTGATTCACTCAACTGTGGGAAGAAAAATCGTAAAATGGGGCAAAACTCACTTAAAAACTGTCTCACTTAACATCAAAAATTTTGGGATCAATTATGGTCGTAAGTTGAGGACTACCTGTATTTAACAAAAGCTATTTAACCTAGCATTTCCTCTCCATAAGCAGTAGCTCCTGTTTTGGCCTGATGCAAATTGTTATAGTTTATAAATTTATTTTATATTTTGATATATGCTAACCTATTAAGCTTTTGGTTGTATGAATACAAGCAGGTTTTCCATGTTGGAAATTTTTCATTCTTTTTTCAACAAAATGTAGGTCTGATTTTAGGGGCAATTCCTATAGGTATCTACCCCAAAGTAAGCCTGATTTAATTCCAAAGTGTTCGTTTCCAGGTAAGTGAATGCAATTGTCAAAAGAAATATTTTTCAAAATTCTCCTTCATTTTTTTATAATTTGGGCATATTGGCTGATGTACTTGCTTTATAGATCTTATATGCCTCCAGCTATTTTTCTCCTCAAATTCAGCAATGGAAAGGAAAAGGGAAGATCTGTATTTGGCTTTGGAAATATAGGTTCTATATATAAAATCATAATTGAACCTGAGCTGCCAGTGACTAATAATGGTAGAAATCAAAATATCAGATTAGTAATGAATATAGAGGTAAAGAAAGATTAAAAATGAAAGACTGATTAAGAAGCAGGTTAATTGTCCTGGTCTATCTGCTTCGGATGGTGATTATTTTCTTTCAGATTACAAAAAGCAGCTCATGTATTTACAGTACAACACTAATATCTTTTGATTTTTATTTCCTAATCATACTTATATGCTTGGCCAGATTTAAAAACCTGCTCTTGTGCCTTTAATAGCAGCAACATATGATTCTGTCCCTGCCAGGAAATACTCCCCTTTTGAGCTGCTACACTCAAATTGCCACCACAGACCCCAAGTTCGTAAGCCAATCTTCCTTTTGCTTATTTAGAACATTACAATATACAGTATATTTTTAAATAGTTTGCTACCGTTGTTATATGCTCCAAAATCAGTGGTCTGTATCGTCAGTTTTACATGATTAAATGAACACCAACGCTTTGCTCTGCCTTTGCTGGGAACAGATAACACTGATGCTTTTCTATCTGAGTATGATTATATGATCAATCCACACCCAACACATTTTTGGTTAGCCAAAATTGATCAGGCAACGCCACAGCCATTTTTTTTTTTTTTGTCTTTCAGCTATTTTACTGAAATACATGAAGGTTGAAGCAGCACAATAGCTGGAAAACCTTGGGAGGACAGTAAATTGAAGAGATGTTTTTAAAGATTTCCATAACATTCCTTGAATGAGGCAGAATCAAACAAAACTTTTCTTAAGAGACATCATCTAGGTGTCAGGTATATCATCTCTGGCTAACTCCTGTGTCCATTGATTTGGTGGGAAACCTTGAAGAGGGAGGTCCCCCCCCCCAACTTTCCAAATCTACAGTATGTTGTGCTTTTATGCTATGCTTGTCTCCCATTGAATTCACCCAATTTTAACACTGTTAGATGTGCACAAGTAGTTTAGGAGTATAGTATATGCATGCACAATTGTGGCTGTTTATATGACCAGCAACAGGAAGATACTGGCTAAACTACCTAATCCAGGACTGTACAGTTATTACAATTGTCAAAAATTCATCTGGCCTCCATGTTTCTAACTAGGGTGTGTAAACATTAGGGTGGGGCTTTGCGTATTGTTTTATTTAGCTGTGGACTGGATCATGTTACACTGCCCACTGTAATATTCCGGTACCTCCCAACTTTTACCTCCTGTAAATTTTAATTCTGATGAATTGTGATGCAAAAACAGCACTGACTAATCCAGGTCTTGATACGATGCAGAAGAGATCATCTGCTGCGTGTCTGCATCAAGACCAGATTAAAGACTCTCGGGTGAAGTAGCCCAAATTATTAGTTGATACCTCTATCACCTAAGCCACCATGCCACACTTACCTGTGTAAACAAGGTGCTTGAATCAAGTCTATCTGCCCCCCAACTAATGGACCCTGAAGATAAGGGAGTCTCCCAGCCTTACCTGCAGCTTCTGCTTGGCTTCCTTTCAGGGATGCAGGAGCCACAAACCCCACAGATCAACTTCTTCCAGGATGTCCTCTCTCTGTCTACTGTAGTTCCCTGCCTGCTGTCCATCAGCTAAAGAGCTTGAGACACATGACTTTGTGAGTGGGAGGAGGAGAGAGGGAGAGAGTGCCCCTACCAGACTGCAGGAGGTGTGGCAGGGAGAGCTGTCATTTTGTTTGTAATACACGAACACAAAAGCTGATGAAGCAGCGGCCTCCTCCCATCTCACCCCAGAATTGGACATTATAACTTTTAGGACTTTTTAATGATGTTTGGCAGCCCACTTCACATTTTGTAGGGAGAACCAGAAGAGCCTAATGCTGGGAAAGATTGAGGGAAAAAGAAGAAGGGGACGACAGAGGTGGCCGGATGGAGTCACTGAAGCAGTAGGTGTGACCTTAAATGGACTCCAGAGGATGGTAGAGAACAGGAAGGCTTGGAGGAACATTGTCCATGGGGTCGTGATGGGTCGGACACAACTTCGCAACTAACAACAACAAAGGAAGAACCAGCATTTTCTGCTGTTTTTTAGGTAGATTCTTTTTGGTAGGCTTCCTTTGCTGAATAAATTAGGTTCAACCTGTTTTAGAAAGATCCAGTTTGTTATAGTGGTTAAGGCACGAGGCTGAAAACGAGGAGAGTGAGTTCTGCGTTAGCTATAAAAACCATTTCTGAAAAAGCTTCCCAAGAAAACTGCGGGGTCTTGTCCAGGCAGATGCCAGTCCACACTGACTCAAAGGCACCAAAAGAAAATAAAATCTGTTTTAGTGTTTAGAAACTATTTTTGGTGTGCATCCTACCTTGTTATGGTAGAACATGCCAGACCCAATTATGTGGGTCTGATGGATGAGGCCCTTTTAGAAGGAGTCAGCAAAAATGTTGTTTCCATCCAGGAAAGATGAGGAAAGAGGTTTTAATGGTACTCAAATCAGAACATCTTCGATAAATGATGTTAGCACTTACCGCTTGTAGCATGAACGTTTTTAATTACAGTACTTTTTAAATTTGTTTTTTGAAAGTGGCTCTCAAAAATGAAAAAAAAAAAAAGGATAATGGCTTCTTATGTTGGACATTTGAATTATTTTCTGTTACTTGAAATCCATTTCAGGTTTAGAATATTGCTAAATAAGTGCTCAAGAACAAGCGCAACATGTTAGTGAGATCACCTATCAGAGCGGTAAATTGAGCTCCTTCCTCCACTCCAGTAACTACCTCAGTTTAAAGATAATTCTGACGTAGCAAATCTGCCGTTTAAAACCAATTTTGGTGCAGTTTAACCACTACACCAAACTGGCTCTCTGAAAAATATTATTTTGCTGTTCCAAAATACTTGAAAGCAAATCCCATTTAAAATGCTGCCTGTTTATGAAAATTCCTAATAGTCCAGAAATAAGGTAGGATGAGATCTAAAAGGAAACCTTCTGGTGCCAATGAAGCCAAAGTAAATGATTGAAGCCAAAGGTCCAGAGTTGCTGTCTTCTCCAATCTGGCACTTGGCAGATGTATGAAAAACTACATGCCCCATAATTCCCAGAGGGTACCAAAATTGTGGTCCACTATCACTCCTTTTGTGGCCTCCTGAAATGCCTAAGTGGGCATGGCCTAATTATTTTTGCTTTTCCATTGAAGGAAGGATTTAGAACGACAAAAAGTAGGCCTTAAACTTAAGAGGAGAAAGGCATTCATTTCAGCTCTTAAAAGCCCCATGTCTCTCCCCAAATTAGGACTTTGTATGCCAGCCTTTGCTCAACTTGGGGATATGACCCTAAGTATGCTTGCAAAGTCAGTGCAGCCTTGCAGTTAATAGATGGTGGACACCCTCTTCCAAACTCAAAATATGCTTGTCGTAGAAAAAGCTGGCCCATATAAATGTGATTAAGCTAATTTGCCTCCATTTCTACAAAGGGAAGGTGGAATACTGATTGAAATTTTAAGGGATTTTGTAATTGGTATGTAATTGTTCTCATAATTTTAGCAGTTGGTGGCCATAATCATCAAGCCTAGAAAAATAGAACACTTGATACAAATCTACTAAAATCTACAGAAAGAAAGGACTGTGGAAAGCACTAAATGAAAAAATGCTACGTAATTGATGATGCAATTTTTCTTAAGTATTTCAGGTCAGAAAATGTAAACTGTTTGGGGACAGAACCTTATTTTATTCATAAAACGTACGCATGAAGCTCACATAGTCCACATTCTTCATATATATTCAATGTAATCTGAATAAGCCACATGCCCAACCTCTCTTCACCCTCAAATGTGTCAGGTTTTTCTGTGGATGCGTTTTCCTTCAAACTCAAAAAGACTTTTCTACACACTCAGATCCCAAGTCCTCCTGCAATGAAATCAACCCTTATCTTAACCATTCCTGAAGATGATTTCAATGGAGCCCCTTGAGGATTTCCCTCTAATGCAACGTTTTCTCTTCAACAATTGCTGAATCAAATCTCCAAAAATGAGTGGTTCTGATTGGCTGATTTGATTTCGTTTTAAAAGCTTTACAGCAACCCTACAAAATAAGCCACTTCCCAGGAATACAAACTTCTTCTTTTTTGTGGGTGGGTGGGTGGGTGGGGGAGATGATGATGTGCCAAATGGGACGGTTGACAGGTGGCATCTGATTCCCTCAGTTGGGTTCAGCTTGATGAGCCAATGTCTTTCGCGCCATTTCCAGTGCACCTTCCTTAGTCCTGTTTCCTCCAATGAAGCCACTGGAATGTACAAAGATACAGTCTGGGATCCCGCTGACCTGGGAGAGATCTTCATCACGTAAACCCCTCCATTCCTCCAGCAATGGCAATCTATTTGGGGGGGGGGAAGAGAAGCAAAATCAGGTGAGCAAGGAGATACAACCTTGCTGTGGAATTCATGTATAACTCTTGAGGAAAGAGGAGAGGCTGCCTAGAAAACCATCAGACATAAGAGGCCTAGAGCCCACAATTGTTTAGCAGTTGAAGGAAGTTACATAGGAAGGACCTGGCGAGTGGAAAATTAGCACTTTCAGACCTGCAAGATTCTGTTAATGTAGTCCAGGGGTCAGCAACCTGTGGCTCTGGAGCCGCATGTGGCTCTTTCACTTCTCTGCTGCGGTTCCGTTACTCAAAATATGTGTCACAACAGCCAATGTGTGACACCTGCCGGCACACAATTTATTGAGCTTTTCAACACCCGGTAGGCCAACCATGGATAAATCCAAGAAAAGAAAAGTTTCAGAAGAAAACAGAATGTTTAATTCAACTACATATGCTAGCTTTGTGACCACTCAAGAAATAGTCAGGCACGGGAAGGGTTTTGTGGCTCCCGGTGTTTTCTTTTCTGTGGGAAACGGGTCCAAATGGCTCTTTGCGTGTTTAAGGTTGCAGACCCCCGATGTAGCTTTTCAATAAAGCAGGTGTAGCTCATCTAGTCATGTTTCCTATCTGGTTCGCTTGGGAAGCTGAGAAACCTTGAGGGAATGGTCTACAATGGGCTCTTTTAAATTTTCTGGAGTTCACTTTCCAGAGAGCCTGCCTGCCTAACTGAAAGCAAGGGACTGCTCGGCACCTAAAGATTTTGAGGAAAAGGCTACAGAGAATATGGGACGAGGCCTCTGCTAAGATACAATGTGATGTCAAGAAACTTTATCCTGGAAATACTTAAAATATGTTTATTTTATTCAATTTCAGAACAAGTCATTGTTTTTTTTTGTGCGTATATACCTTCAACTCGGTTTTAAGAGATTGTACTCTTAATTTTGAATAACTGGATTTAATTCAGTTTAAGCAGTAACCTAAGATCTAGAGCACTGATGGCTAACCTTTTTGCTGTCGCATGCCAAAAGAGGGGGTCGTGCAAGGTGGTGGGTGGGTCACGCGCACGTGTGCCCACGCCCATAATTCAATGCCCTCCCGCAGCCGCCCCCCCACACAAGCGCGCATAATCCCCACCCCATTCTTTTGGCACTTGATGGCACGGTGGGCCTGTTAGGCCCGTTTTTCGCCCTCCCCAGGCTCCAGAGGCTTTCTAGGAGCTTGGGGAGGGCTAAAACGGCCTTCCCCACCCTCCTGGAGGCCTTCCAGAGGACGGAAAAAGCCTGTTTCCTGACTTCCGGTGGGCCCGGAAGGCCCGAAAATCAGCTGGCCGGCGCATGCATGCGTGCTGGAGCTGAGCTAGGGCAACGGTGGCGTGCCCACAGATATGGCTTTGCCTGCCACCTGTGGCACACATGCCATAGGTTTGCCATCACGGATCTAGAGCTTCCCAAGAGTGTGGAATTACAATGTTTTCTACTTACCGCTACTGTACTATATATCTCTCTAAAAGGAAGGTGCTCAACCTAAGATGATACCCATGGTTTGTTCATGGGAAGAACAGACAAAAAATTGATCCGTACCATTTGTTGTGTACTCAATGAATCTGAGGCAACTTTTCCACGGTATTGGGAAAAAATATTAATCTTTCTTTCAGGGTGAGTCAAAAGGTGTTGAGGAGCTACACTCACCGGTTCTGAAAGGTTCGCAGCCCTACAGGAACACATTGTACCCGCCACTGGCCACTCAGATCTGTGTATAAGACGAATTTCAGTGGCTTCTTTACATCCATGGTTTGTTCCAGCTGCAAAAGATGCTCTTTCCATGGACAGCCTCCTTGTGCCAGGACCAGAATTTCACCACTAGGGTCCACCTGCCATAGAAAGAGAGGCACACCATTCAGAAGTACTGGTTTTACCAGCCCAATGGCTGAAGTGTACAAAGCGCTATTAAAACACTAGAGGCATTTATTGCTATATTAACGTAAGTCATAAGGTGCCTTACTGTAGATTCTAGTCCAAAAGTGAATTTAGCATCGTCAGACTGACAGAAGTTTCAGTTTATTTCCCCTAAGATTCTAATCCTCATACATACAGGGAATCATGGAGAAGCATACTGAGTGTCAGGTTCCAATTAATGTACCCTTCACAAACCGAACTCTGAGGCATTCTGTTTCCTCAAAGAACAAATTTATTTAGATACATCATCTTGGCACAAACTGGTGGAAAGCCAGTACTAAAGGTTCCCATGCTTTCCACCCCACTTAAAGTA